AAGAGATACCTGCAATTGCGCCAAATAAATAAGCTTTCCAGTTTTTAATATCCCTTGGTTTTTTTGCCTTTTCCCTCTGTACGTTTCAAATACTCATATAAAAAAAAATATGTACCATATCCATGAAATTCACGCGCCATAGTCATTGATTGTCCTTTATAAATTCCACGCATTCCATGTGCAGAATAAATTTTTTTAATGCAATCAATTGGTCCAGAATATAACATAGGCTTTTTAACAGAGTTTGCTTGTGTAGGCGTGATTTGGACTTGAAGGCCTATATAATTTCATGTTGTATATTAATGTAATTTTAGGGATTGAATTTCTCGCTATAATTGATTATTTTACAGAAAACTTACGTGTGCGAATATTCTCTATCGGACCTAATTTAAGATATTATATTATAACTCTATGAAAATACTGTAATAATTTCATATGTACTAATAAAATTTAAATTCTTTAAATCAAATCTCATACCGGAAATAACTGAATTTGCTATTCCTGCAGCTGCTCCAGATAAAAATAACTGTGAATTTGTCAGCATAAAATCTTTATTTACATTCCTATCATTAAAATAACGTTTCATGTGTTCTAATACTGTAAATTGAATTGATACACATGCTCCAACTCCAACTAAAGGCGTTGTTGTTCCCTAATTTTTTTTATGCCATTATCAATAAAACTTTATAAAACTACGATTAAGAATTTTTAGTAAAAGTATAGATAGTAATTAACCTTATAAAATGCACTAAAACCTTCCTTGCTAGTTTTTTCGTACACAATCTAACATATTGGAATATAATGGTTGTTGTCCAGGGTTTGGTATAGGTTGCGTTTGAAGTCTCTGATAGTATCAATGTATTTAAAAGTTAATTCACATTAATTTGTATATGTGTTATACATTATATGAATATTTTTAAATTTCCTTTGTAAAATATTACTTACGACTTTAACCGTATTAAAGGGCTTTCGTATAAACCAGGAATTGATATAATTAATTTATTAATTAATAACGCATGTTGGAATCAGTTTAAGA